TGAATTTATTAGACAAACGTCACGCAATTTCACGCAATTTCAAGAATCCAACGGTTAATAAGTATAGGGAAAAGAGATAATCACTTACCCGAGTGGTGTTGCTGTTCGGCCATTAGAGAGGACCGATGATTATTCACAGACATCGGGTTAGAAGTGTTGATGTGATCGTGTGAGTGATGATTACCACCAGTGCTGATGCCGTAAAGTGTGGCCGCGAAGTCCGCTTCACCCGACAAAACCGATACATTGCAAGCAATGGATTTGCGTTTGTCTGACAAATTACGATGAGATATATGATGGGCTATACTCTGCTCAACAGATCCATTGTCGCCCATTTTATATTAGATGAAATTATCTTAAATTTTTATAAATAAATATTGTTTGGAATCTACTTGTCGTTTGACATTAATTTTTCGGTCAAAAAGTTTTAAACCTTAGCCTCCGATCGTTGATAACTCGTACTGACTAACGAAGTTATAAGAGAGGCCATCCGTCTTATAACCGATACGACACGACCAATAAAACGTGTTGTCGAGAACTGCACTCCACTCCCATTGGTAGACACACTCCTCACAGTTACCACTGCATCGCAACCATCATCTCCTACCGTCTCTACCGTCTCCTACCATCTCCTACTCCATTATCTCATACCATAACTCTCGTCATCTCTACTAACATACCATACCATACACTCTACTAATTCTATGCTCTATATGTTGTACTGTATATGTTTTATATGTTGTACATCTCAACAGTAGTCTAATGCACTTCAATCAATGGCAAATACCATCTCTACATTCTCTCTATCATCTCTCCTCTGCTTTTACTGCTTTCAATGCAAAACCCATTCCCTCTTTCAATGTGTAAAGCATTCTCTGATTCACAATAATTCTCTCTTCTCTTCTATAGGTTTTATTTATAGACTTCTTATTCTATAGATATAAATGATTTTAATGTTATATTAAATAATTACAGAATTATTGTCAATTCAATATTGAGTTTCATTACTAATTAATTTATTTAAATAAAATCATTTAAATCGCAAAACAGTTTTCGATAAAATTAACGAATAAAACAAATCATTAATTAATGGCATTTTTTAACTAACTTTTTCACTTTGCTTTTATTTCCTCTAATTTGACAAAACAATTAAACATAAATTAATTGCATTGAAATTCAATACGATTTCATTATACAGTAATTCTGTTGGAATTGAGACTTTGAATGGCAGAGAATTTACTAATAAGTGAAATAAATTGTTTATAAAACAAATAATTCATAATATTATACAAAATTAAAATGAAACAAGAGTGCAATACATTATTATTATTACAATTAATTATTACAATACATTAATTATAACGTTAATTTATTTAATTAAATATTTGTCATCAACAAATATTATTCGACTTCTATGTATTTGTATATATAATAACAATGTATATTATATTTATCAGTGTATTTATTTTAAAATTATATTTATTTAATACAGTAAATGTTTAAAAGTAACTTATAACATATAGAATTTTGAAATTATACATTATTTTATTATAAGAATTAGCTTAAGAATAAAGAACCGGAAAATAATTAAAAACAAATCATTTATTAGGAAAATGTAATAATTATTATATGAATGCATTAACAGGTAATTTGTGCGGAATTGTATGCAAAGCGGATCTTGAATTCAATAAGTATTTAGTGTTTTGTGCGAAAGAAAAATGTGTTTAAGAGTGCAGTGGGTGTGAAGAAAGCGTCAGTCAATAAAAATTATTATAACAAGAATTTATTGAACAAAATTAAGTTTTGTGACGACATTTCCAAAATTAAATCACCGACAGTGCCATCAGTGCCACAGACAGTGCCATCACAGCCATAGCCACTGCCAGTCCCTCATAATAGGCGACGCATTCAGACTACAGACGCTTACATGCATTCTCTGCTCTCTTCCAGTCTCTATCTCTTCGTATTGAACACAACCCACACAACAACCCATTCGTGTGACAATCGCTTTCATATTACTTTCAATCCTTTAAAGTTAACTCTAATTTTCAATTTATACTCATTTTTGTCTTACAACTTGTCCTAATAGTGAGGAAAGCACTTAAACTCATGTCTGTATTGAATGGAAAGTTATTCTTTGTATAGATTCACGAGTTATGACATTCGGAGTTATCATTCATTGAATAAACATAAAAATATTGTATGAATTGAGTACTGATTAATGAACGCGTGTTTTTCGGTCGATCGGCACGTGTTTTCGGTAATCGAAAGCACCGATTGTCTCAAAAGCCTATAATTAATGCCATAATAGAGTGAAAACACGACACAAGCAATGCATAAGTGATGGAAAGGAGAGAATAGAGGCTGACGTGAAGTCTCGCAGCGGGTGCTCACAATTGAGGCCACCTGTCATCCACTCAGTCAGCGCTCAGTCATGCCTTACTCGGGCTCTGGTATAAGAGTAGCCGATCTGATGTACATATGATGTACGCGTGTGTATGCAAAATGAAACCAAAGAATGCGTGCAACACGTGCTCAATCACCAGATGGACAATCGGACCAAAAGTGTACAAACAGTGGCCGTGTCTTACCTGAAGGTATGTATTTTAGTTGTATTCTTCTTAATACGTGAGCTTTAAGTCATGAATTGGTTTCAAACGAGCAGTTCTTTGAGTTGGTATGAATTTGAATGGGAATTACACTCAATGCTCAGTTAGAGTGCTATTCAGGCAATGGATATGACTGTTGAAGCAGAAGAGGATTAAGTGCTATTTGACGACAACCACTGCTGCAAACACTGCCTCCGCCGCCAACACTGCTTCTCCTGTCATATCTGTTTGATATCTAAAAAACTTATTTCTAATCTAAATATTAAGTAGACTTTAATGCGAAAAAGCGTTAGAATAGGAATTAATTTCCGTTTGTTTCTAATGTATTGAGATTTATATCTCTTGTAATGACTTATAAGTAAAAACATTTATTTTGTGATTGAATAGCAATTGTCTGTTAATTGATTTCTTTTTTAGTAAATATAAGTTCCAATCATTCAATCTTTTATTCATTTCTATTAAATGTAAAATAAATGCTAAATAAGTTTTAAGAATAAAATTGTGATTCATTTTCAGGTAATAGAGAATTACTTCAAAAACAATTAACAATTGGAGTGATATATGTCGAGAAGATATACTATAAGACTAGACATCTGTGTTTCATGTTATGTGTGGGCAGTAGTGAGTGAATAGTGTTTTGAAAGATTTCAAATGATTTGCACATGAAATGAATGGAGAGAGAGAGAGAGAGAGAGAATACATTCTTTGGTCACTCTATGTATACACTATTGATCATAATATAGATGCATACGATTGTGATCATCTACATGTAAGAGTGAAAGTGAGTGAGCGAGAGAGAGAGAGAGAGAGAGAGAGAGAGAGAGAATCCCTCATGAATTTGAATGAGTTGTAACTGCAATACTGAATAATACATTTGGCGCACTGTTCACCCCCTCCGGACTCGAGAGTAGAGCACATTTCAATTATCTGTTCATTACTGAACTAAATTGCTATACGACTCAATTGGGCGTGAATTGGGTGCTCACGGCCTGCTCTATATCCCTCTGTGTTGTACCGAACAATATATGGCTCTCTCTCTCTCTCTCTCTCTCTCTCTCTCTCGCTCACTCACTTTCACTCTTACATGTAGATGATCACAATCGTATGCATCTATATTATGATCAATAGTGTATACATAGAGTGACCAAAGAATGTAAAAGTATCTCTTTTAACCAAATATTGTGGTATAAACACACACTATATAAACATCCCGTCGACTGTCTATTCATAAAACAGTTTGAAACCAGTATTTATATAACTGACCAAATCGTAAGACATGTAATTTGGCAAAGATATGATGGACATCACTCACGAGTGAAGTCTACCTCAGGCACAATCAATGCGACGATTATTTTTGTATAGACTGTATCGTAAGATATACTGGCTTTGAATGAATAGCGCCCACAAGGGATAACTCCTTTCGATCATCTCTTCGTTCATCTTTGCATTCATCGCATCTCTGATTAGAGGATAGAGGCGTTAAACTCAGCTATGAGTCGATAAAACCATTTGTGTTGAAGTCATTCAAACGTAACTTTATATTGAAAGTTACAGGAGTTATGCTTTGCTTATTTCACAAGTGATGCCAAAACTTGCAGAATCATACAGAATGGCATAGAATATAGACCTATAAACTACCAGTACTTCATAATTGACTTATCATAGGATTCAGTCCCAAAGTAACACTAATGGACTGCTTTTAGAGCAGACATTCACTCAACTTCGCCGCTACTCTTTGTTCATAACTCTACGTGTAATCAAACTTTTACTAAAATTATTTTTCGTTATAACTATTAAATTGAGGACATATTTCGCAAATTTTTGGTTTTCTGTAATTTTTTAATGTATTTATGAATTAATAATTAAATGCAATAAAATATTAAGATATTTTAGTATAAATGTGTTTAAATAGAAAGTTTCTATAATGTTTCTATAATATGTTAAGTTTTCTTACTAAAGTATAAAAACAAATTGATTGTTTAAGAATGATCCCATCGACAAGTGGCGGACACCAATTTAAGTGTGCTAGTTGTGTTAGTTTGACATCTTGATAAATTTACTAAAAAAATGTTTACATTTGTGATTTAAGTAAAGATTAGGTCAGAGGCATGAATATAATGCTATAAAGCGTATAAATCTTATTTAAAAATAGTCTGTAACTTGGTCATTTGCAGAGTTTCTCTTTGGTAAATTCATCTAGTAGTATAACTAAACACAACTATACCAATTAAATTGATGTACGCCACGTATAGTTGTCAATTAAAATAATACTAATAGCAATCTTTGTGCTAATATTTTGACTTTCAATTCAATAAACAATTGATTGTTTTCAATTGTTTCAATTGATTGATTGAATTGTATATTTCGTAATTGATTTTCAAAATTATAATCAAACGGAATCGTTGTGTGAATTATTTTATTTGTTTAGATCGCAAGTGATTATTAAATACTATTAATTATATTAATGTCTTTGTCTTTTGGCCATAATATACTCGGTGTATGAAATAAAGCCGTCATTATCTCTATCGTACTCTTCAAGTAATTTATCGATCGCTTCTAAAATGAATTGTAGTTTTAAAAAAATTAATCATTTAAATGATATTCAATTTGAAGATATAATACGAAAAACCAAAAACACCAAAGAAAACGAGAGAGAGAGAGAGAGAGAGAGAGACTAATACGAGAATATTCTGTTGAACACTTTATACAATACAATAGCTTTTGAGACTAAAGTCCGGGGTATTAGTGCTGTAGATAAGAGAGAGAGAGAGAGAGAGAGAGAGAGAGAGAGACTCATTTAGTTTAATTATTTTTAATAAATTGAATTTAAAATAATAACCATAATCAAGTTATGTTTAAATTAAATATTAATTTGTTAACATTCTGTTTAGGGTAAAAATATAACAAATGGAAGTTATTATATACATTAACATATTATTAACAATTCAGAATATTTAGTTATAATGGTCAAATATCTGACATACATGTTATTAAAGGGTTAAATCTGACACCTAAAAATATAGAATTTAAAAAGTTACCAACAGAATCTGAACACAAACAAATGAGAATGACCCGCACCCATAGATCTTACAACAAAAAATTTAAAATCCAACATTTTATTAGTAAATTGACGGGGAATTAGAATACTTTTATAGTACTTTAAAAAAGCTCTTATCGTAAAGATATTCTTATAAATTTAAGATAACTCGTTAGAATTAGCATAGGTTCCACATTATCCATAGGATAACACTAGTTGCATAGGATTAACATTAGTTCCATAAATATGGCCATATACTTAACATTGTCTAGAGAATAAAAGTAACCCCATACTGAAGTATACACATAGACTTATTCTGGGTTTCCGTGTTATTTATTAAAAGGGGGTGGAATGGGGAGGTAAAAATCTTATAACTTATGATTTTTAATTCATAATAAAGAAAACAAGTGCCAAATATGAGATTTATATTTAAAATACTAAAATATATAGTGGTTCATTTACACAAAAAAAACATTCAAATTGTTGCTATAAAATGTAGTCATTTAAGTGTTATTAAATAAAGTTAATTAACTATACATTTAAACTATATTTTTACTATACATACAATTAAAACTATACATTTAATTACATAAAATATTTCAAAATTTAATAAAATTATATGTTAATATTTAAAATTATATGAATTGATAACTTACTGGAATCTTCATTGAATTTTTCATTCCAACGATATTGCATATTATATCTGTTCCTTATTTTATAGAATTCCATCGGATCTTCGTGTTCCTCATCATTGGTCTCCACCTTATAATCAATTTAGTATTTATTACAAAATCAAATATTCTAACTCTTCTCTCAATACAGTCTTATATTTTAATATTTGTGATTACAAACAAAGTTTTATTCAATTTTAGGACAAATGAATTATGAAAATATCATTTATTATTTCCATTGTATAACATGTGCTTTGATTCTATTGCTGCCAATATAATCTAATAATTTGGTATATTATATAAATTTTTATTAAATTTCAACTATAAAATAACTTAAAGTGGTTCATTTAAAGTGGTAATTAATTTTTGAAATTCAATTTTCTGATATTTCTAGTGCTGTAATAGTAGTGTCTGTTTGAAATAATTCAAACCTATAATATAAAGATATGTAACAAACTCTTGTATCCGCGCATTGAAGGCACTAAAGTATCACTCAAGCAAACCCGAGAATTAGTGGATCTCATATAACATAGGAATTTTTAATTATGTGACATTTAATTATGTGACACAATGCTCTCTACCAATCATTTGGCATATCAATTGTACAGCGAATACTAGAGACACAGTGATTGGTAGAGAGCATTGTGTCACATAATTAAATGTCACATAATTAAAAATTCCTATGTAAATAGATCTTTCATATGTTATGAAATATTTTCTAATATCAATCATTTAACTAATATTTAGCAAAGATTCTATTTTATCATTGATTGCACTGATTAACACAATGTTATATAAATTACAGTACAGTAGACTTATTTATAATATAATGATATTATTAATTACTTACAAATTGTATACAATCAAGAAAACAACAGGAGTTTACAATAATAATAAGTTATGATTCGTAACATAATTGTAAAATATGTCATGATTTATAAAGGTTTTTATTATTAAAATATTAAACTATAAAATGCAAAAATTCTGGAAATTTAAAAATAGTGTTGCAAAAAATAATTTATTGTATCCAAAATAAAAGTTATAGTTAATTTCAGTTACCCTAAACTAACTGTTAGATATAGATTTACCATATTAATTGGGAATAGTTTTTATATTGTAATGAAATCAAGCATTTTAAAGTTTTCTATTACCTTAAAAACCCACAGATAAGGCGCGCCAAGAAAAGTGTATTTTAGGAAAAAATTAAAGAATCGTCTTATCTATGGGTTCGGCTTATCTATAGGTATATTTATTCATAGAACTAAAAAACAATTTTAATTTCAAATTAACATATTTATCAAAATTGTTTACAGAATAATTTAATGTATTTATTCAAAATTATCAAATTTTTCGTCAGATTCAACTAAAATTTTCAAATAAATGTTCCAAATTATTAGAACCTGAATCTGTTTCCAATAGAGATTAATCAGACTTTAAATCACAATTATTATTATATATAGACTCTAAATTAGACGACTAGCCGATGACTAATAAAACAAAACATAAACCATTATTTCCAATAAATTCCGTTTAAAAACTAATGTTATATACAAATTGTCTTATCTACGGGAACACTTTACTTTCAAAATGTTATTATTCTTCCTATACATGGGTCCCCTTAACTATGGATTTTTAGGGCAATAGAATTAATAATTCATGTAATTTAACACAATATTCTCTTTCGTAATACAAGCCGTTGTACTGTATATCGTATCTAAACTTTCGATTCTAAAGCTATATATTCTATATGGTATGTGTTGTCACCCATTGGTAGAGATAGTAAACACTGATAGAATCCAAATTGATTTTGTGGATCATTTAAACAATTGCTTAAATATAATATTTCAAATACATGTTGTATTCAATATATTGTTATCTAGTAATATAATAATATTTAGTAATATAATGTTTAATTGAACACAACTATAAATGACTTACAGGTGATGGAGTTGTGGTGGTCTCGGCCTCCGCCTTCTCCCTTAAGGTGTCCTCATTAATCACGTGATTCATTGCGGTTAAGATTTCCAGTCCATCCAAAACGTCTAATAACAGCTTCAGTACGTAAACCTTCATTATCTTCAGTTCAAGAAAGAGTCTACAGAACGACAGCTACAGATACACTATCATAAGAGAGTGCAGAAGGGAATATACGGACGTTTTACGTTTTAATTTCCAATTAATTACTGAATGCAACAAAATTTCATTAGATATTATTAACTCGATATTTGGTTCCAAGAAACTACCATGTTCACCCTCATGAGCACTGACCAATATTAACACATTTATACCAATTAATAATTTAGAAAACATTTTATGTAATTAATAAAAGTTTTAATTTATTAAATAAATTATTATTTTAATAGTTTATAATTAAAATCAGCATTACTTTCTAATACTGTATCACAAAGCATGTGTTGGATACCCTTAAGCCAAATCATTCATTATTTTATTATCAATGAATTAGTGATTTCTGCTAAGAAATTATCTCTTCAAACAAATGGTAACGTATTTATGACTTATTGGCTAAAATCAAAACACAATCTATTATTATATTTGCTTTTATAGATATTTAATATCAAATATTTACAGAATTGTACAATAATTATAATATCGTTAAAATACATTTATAAGAATAGGAATAAAAATGAATTAAATATATTGCATAAAGTAAACAATTAAAGCTCCATTTTATAAAATACATGTAATATTTATTATTTTAGAGTTTTAAAATTCGGAAGTAAACTTCCACTGAAATCAAACGCAAGAACAGAATTTAGCCCTCTAAGTCAGGAGCACACGGTTTGTTCCTAAAGAACCGTTAACAGTCGAAACCCGAGCAGTTCATCCATACTATCGACCAGTTTCTGTATAAAAAAGCTTTCCTGATATCCACGGCTGACTCGAAGCGAGAATTTGGCGTTTGGTTTGTCGAGTAATAGCTGTGTATTGACGGCAAACCCAGACATGTCTATCGGAAAGGGTCTCTCTTTCTTCCACATCGTATTCCATGACTTGACTCTTCCGTTCGTTACAATTGGTCTCTCGACAAGAAGTCCTCCGACAAGACCGACGGGCCATACGGACACTCCACTCGTGTCACGCATTTCGTCAAATATTTTCAAGTCATAAGTGTTGTCGTCGTCCGCGAAATAGACGACACCCTTCTTGTCCACGATATGGGCGTTCTCTCGGATCCAATCAATGCCGGCATTCCTTTGTAAGACACCTCTCGGTTTGAGCCAATTTGGATCAGTTGTCTTCATCTTATACTCCGATGGCGTCAATGCATTCAAATGAGTGTATTTCAAGTGACCATAATTTTGGATGTGTTTCAAGAATTGTGTCACTAATTGTGTCTTTTGTGGCGAGTCTTCAACGAGAATCCAATGGATATTTTGGGCCAAAATCAATGTGTGAGACAATCGGATCAGTTCTGCCTTCTGAACGAACCGATCATAAGTAGGAGTTATCACATAAATGGTGGCCAATGAAGACAATGACCGATCACTGCCGCCTGTCTTAAGCGCTTGATTTGTTTGATAACTTTGAATCCAATCTAAAGGATGGGAACAAATGGTGACAATCATATAATTGGATTGAATAACACTTACAGAGATTGTAAAATATGGACACAATTAGCAAAAGACTGAGAGTTAATAATAATTGGTTTGATTTCCTCATAAAAGCCGCGTTCAAGAAGTGTATCAATGGATGGGAAGTTCATTGAATCAGTTGTGTTGGGATGTATTGGAAGCGATGCCGGAGATGGCGGTAGTGGTAGTGATGGCAGTGTTTGGCAACAATAGTGCAGTGAATACTGGAGTGAGTGTTAAGGCAAACCTCTTGGCCAAACTGACAATAATGTCGTGTTCTTCAAGTTTCACTTCGTGTTTGAGTAAGTGGTGAGCGACAGGTAAACCAGACTGTAAAGTAAGTACACTACTGTCGGTTCCTCAGGCAGGAGTCGTTAAGAGTGATTCTCATTCACTGATCGACTGTTATGTCGAGTCAAACACGTCTTGGATTATCACCCATTCATATATGTATTGGTTGTCAACACAACACAAGTGACCAGTGATCGGCGCCAATGACTACCGCTTGCAGTGCTTCAGCTTTCATGAAGAGCCCACTCGTCACCTGGGTTTGTGCCAATTCACCCCTTTTACACTTTACCCCGATTACCACTATTACCTCTATTACCTGTATTGCCATTTCTACCACTTGTTATCCCAAACAATACGACCGATCGATGCCTTCAAACACTAACTTTCAAACAACTATTTTCTCATAAAGTTTTGTTTATTGGAACTAAAAGTTCTGTTGAGTGCAAAAACTGACCGTTTGTTTGAACTAAAAACTAATTGTCAGTGAAATTGATTGTATGAATGAATGAATGGCTAAAGACACTCGTTTTTATCACTCGGAAGCAATAGCACTTACATACATACTTAACTTTCAGTTTCATCTCATACTCAACTCAACAACACTACACTTACTGTAGGGTTTGTCTTTCCCGAGAGGTAAAACACGACAACATATCACAGTCTGGGGGACGACAGGCCGACAGGTGGTGGTCAGCCCTACCACTCACTCATTGCTATGCCTCACACTTGTCGACCCCACCGGACATATCACTCACGCATAGCACTGGCCTAAGTGGCAGAGGGTGTGAGTGGGGGAGGGGTGAGGGGAAGGAGGGCTAGTGTTTTAGGCGATCCCCCGTCAGTGTTGCTAATGACAGCCCTGTGTTGTGTTTTGAGTCAAAACCACAAACAATTACAGGAAAGATAGCTTACAGTATCTCTCTACTTTCAGTAATACATAATTTTTGACGACTCAGAAAGTCAGAAAGTAAGTTAAAGACCAAAAAATAAAATTGTTACTTAGGTTAATAAATAACTTACTTACTTATTATAAAGTGAGCAACAATTCAATGCAACGTTTGTTTCGCTCTTCAATTATAGGCACAAAAAGTTGTGTAAATTAGAGGCAAAACTAAACATGAGATTTGAATGCATTATATGTAGTATTAGTGGTGAGAGAGGACGGGAACTGTTGTCCCACCACAAGACCTCTCCAGTACTTTAATTACTGGCCTTTAATTTGTTTGAAACAGTAGTAAGAGTGGGGGAAATGCACTCATTTGTGCTCATACTATGCCTACGACACGATTGTGTAATATATACCATACAATAGTCGTCTTATTTGTGGCTTAAATACATGTATTTATTATAAAAGTTAAGTCTATATTAAGGCACAGATTTTGCAAATTAAGGAAAACTTTAGGATTTTGTGATATAATGTATTTTTATTATTTTTAAATACAAAATAAGTGCTACTTTACTATCAATATCGGAGTCCCGATCATTGGTTTTAGTCATTCATCTAAATGCCCAAGACATCTCAAAAGTAGGCTTTGCCTACATGCACCCATAGACATTACATTAAGTCGTTACAATAGAGTGGCCCTACAGTGGCTCTAGCGCGTTTTTATGTAAATGCCAAAACCAGAGCTAACTTTGTTATACAGTATTATTAATTCATAGCATTTGAATAGCAATTAAAGCATTTTCGTTGAACACGTTTTTCATTAAATTATGCGTTTGTTTAATAAATGATAATAGCCTACGACACGATTGTGTAATATATACCATACAATAGTCGTCTTATTTGTGGCTTAAATACATGTATTTATTATAAAAGTTAAGTCTATATTAAGGCACAGATTTTGCAAATTAAGGAAAACTTTAGGATTTTGTGATATAATGTATTTTTATTATTTTTAAATACAAAATAAGTGCTACTTTACTATCAATATCGGAGTCCCGATCATTGGTTTTAGTCATTCATCTAAATGCCAAAACCAGAGCTAACTTTGTTATACAGTATTATTAATTCATAGCATTTGAATAGCAATTAAAGCATTTTCGTTGAACACGTTTTTCATTAAATTATGCGTTTGTTTAATAAATGATAATCGGTTTGCAGTTATTGTATAGAAAAGCCATTGAAAAGTTTCCTTTTGGGCTTCCTTTGGGTTCAGTCATAGCCTCTTCCAAACAATTTATACCAATTTCTGGTTAGGTTTGGCCTTACATTGCATTTGCTTTACGGATATAACCTATTGTTCAAACTCTCTGTATATAACAATATTAATAAATAGTTTTTTTGTTAATGATTTATGAATTGCAATCAAATGATTCATTATAACTATTGATTGTATTATGCGTTTAACTAGATTTGATTTCTTAATATATTTTTTTATTTTATAATAATGTTTAAACATTAAATACAATGAACATGTTAGTCACAGAAAGACAATTACACATAAAAAACATTACAATTACAACACACCTGTACTCTTGTGTTACCAATAATTGTTTCGTTCAAACTATCGAAAAACTAAAAGCAAACAAACTTTCAATTGGCAAACATATCACTGAAATCTCGGTTTTTTACTGCAAAAAATAAAGCACATAATACTTACAGTATTAACCGCACAATAGTTGTTAAAATAGTAATTATGATTTTCTCAAAAAAATACTTTGGGTTTAAATGGCATAAAAATAAATATTAACCAAAAAAGCGTATAATCGGTATTATATTGAATTTTTCTTTATATTTGATATCCAAAAAACAGGTCAATTCATTAAACGATGAAAAATGCGCTCAAAAAGAGATCAAAGATTACAGTGAACTGAGTTCTGGCACTCTTTTCAGTAAAGTTTGGCTCCAAATGTAAGCAGAAATAAATTTTTACATTTTATTTAAATTGATTTGTATTTTATGTTAAAATTGAATGATATTTATGATAATGTATTAAACGCTTATTTAATGTGTCGACTCATTCCCCGTGCATTTTCTCTTCACTCTGTTTATCATAATTATTGCCGTATTTTTTCAATTAATTTCAATATTTATTTTGCGATACATTTTTATTATATGAGAGAATATAAAACAAAAATTGATTTAGTTTTTGAATGAAATCTTTTTATTTTCTTGTATTCAATTTGGTTTTTTTAGAAACAACTTTTTACTCAAAAATTGACTTATTTTTAGCACTCATTGTTTATATTGGAAACTAATGTTAGTTCTTATAGTCGACTGATTTTATGTTGAAATAGGTTTTACAATAAATCCATAAAATCCTATACTAAACAGCTTTCCATGATATTGAAAGTCTTGACGACTTTAACTTTCATGTGATTTGTTAACAAAAAACCTTTTTTGAAACATAATATTTATATTTTTCAAATAGTATTTGTAATATTATATGAATTTTTGAGTTATTTTTGTTCTAAATTAGCGTAAATTTCTTAAAATGAATGTACAAAACAGTAAAGCAATCTATCGTTAAACAATATAGTGATCCGCAACCGATCTATCAATTTGTAACGACTAATGATGGCATTGGAAGTCGTATTAAGAATTTGAGTTCACTTTTAAATAATATAAAAGCATTTTATGAGAACATTTTGGGCCAAACGCTTGTCATTAGAATACCAGATATCGTGAAGATTGCCGTCAATCCAAACGATGAGTCTTCCAGTTGTGAAGAGATGAAAGTATTGCTACTTTTAATGCTCGGATGTGCCGTTCAATGCGAACGCAAAGAGCACTTCATTGATGGCATCAAACAATTAGATATATCTGTTCAGCACTCGATTGTTGAATGCATACAAAAAATCACAGATAATCCGGAGTCAGTTTGGCTCAGCTCTGAATGGAATGTATTGCCCGATGAAGAACACGATAGACAACGACTATATTCGCTATTAGTTCAACACATCAATGGACTCGTTAAAGAGAGACACGAATTACATAATAAGATCACTGATTTGTCCCTCGAGTTGAACACCAATTGCCGGAGCGATTCAAACGATAGTAACGCTCTCTTCGTCTCTAGTCTTAATATAGCGAATACTGTGAGAAGTGACCAAAAGTCAAGTCTTATTGTTGAGGAATTGGCAGACATTAAGTCAAAACACAGAAGAGTTCAGCAGGAATTGGAAGAGAAGAATGAAATGGTATCGGAGCTGAAAGAACTTCTCGAACAAAGCAAGGAATCGTGTAATAAACTCAGACATGAGAACCTGGATCTCATACAAGAGGCCCGATCTGTGAAAGCATATCGCGATGAGATCGATGTACTCAACGAAAGGGTCCGTAAAGTGGATCACTTGGAGAACGAAGTGCACAGATATAGAGACAAAATGAATGAATTAGACTTCTTTAAGTCAAGAGTCGATGAATTGAGAGAAGATAATCGTGTATTGAGTGAAACCAAAGTGATGCTCGAAGAACAGCTCGACTTGAACCGCAAGAAAGCGGACCAATTGCCTGAACTCGAGGCACAGATACTGAAACTGAGCGCCTATTCCGATGAGATGGCTATTCAAAAGGATTTGGATAGAAATAAAATGGAGACCTTTATTGAAGAGATCACTCAATTAAGGTTAGATAAGAAGTCGAGCGCAGAAGAGTTGACGAAAGTTGAGGAACAGTTGATTCATCTGAAGTCACAAATGAAAGTGGATTTAATGCAACAGAACGGAGAGGGAAACCTATTGGAACAGATCAATAACGACGCCTCCAAAAGGGTCCTTAAACTCGAGTTAGAAAATCAAAGATTGCAGTCATTAGTGGAAAACATCAAAAATAACCAAAAATGTAATTTTTATTATTCTTATGATTTTAAAGCATGAATTAATGCATTAAAATAATTGTTTGTTTTCTTAATTATAGCTGATTATGAATATAAATCGATAAGCAGTTCACCGCTTACGACACCGTCTGACAGGTCTGAAAGTAATTCAATGGAGGATAAGGTAAATGAAAGATTGGGCACAACTTCTCCAGAAGAAGACAAAGAGGAATACAAAGAAGAAGTAGAAGTAGTATTAGCGGACAAAGAAGTACAACAAATGAATGGCAAACTCGAAAGTCTAGAACTGAGCCATTCGTGTGATTGCAATGATTTGAACGATAAGATTACAAAATTAAAAGAAGAGAACCGAGTTATGGACGAAGAGCACAAACGACTGCAAACCGAATACAAAATGTTACAAAATATATACAAAAAGTTGAGGACAGAAAACAATGACTTGAAACTGAGACACACAGAACTTCAGGGCGAGACCTCTGAATGCAGGGATAGGATGGCGCTGTTGGACGTGGAAGTGTCCAAACTGGCCAACTATTGCGAAATGGTTGCGCTCACCAACAACTCAATTGAATCGCATCGCAAAAGACTGATCAACAATATATCAAATCTATTGACACAATATCATGACGTGTTGACAGAAATTGGCGGCGACTCTGAAAAGTTAATCTCAGATAAAATGCATGACTTGACCGCTAAAAAGGAAAAATTGGATAAAATGATCAAAGAGTATGATTTGACACTCGAGAAGAAGAAAGTTGTCGTCAGTAATCATAACGTTGTCCGTCGTATCCATAGGTCATCGACTGATCTCTGTTTATCTAATAATCAAATCATTCATTTTAATGACCGCTCGAAAGAGCGTAATTCCGCTCCATTTGATAATTTGGCCGATGAGGCCATATATGGCCGCATTTGGGAGGCGGAGACTCCACCCATCACTTCTAGTACATCAGCATTGCGTCCGACGCCCACTAATAATACTTCATCGCAAGCCTTAGAACAAAGCAGTGGAAAGGCTTCCGAAACTATTAAAGCTTCGGATCCTTTAAATCAGGTCTGAATTTAAATTATTAGTTTTGTATTTGAAATTTATTGCTTTATATTTAATTTGAATGCTTTTAAAACAGAAAGATTATAAATTATATAAAATTACACACGAGTTATAATTTCATGTGAATTAAAGCATATCTTTATAATCAATAAATTAGATAAAAGAAGAGATAATAAATGGTGAGACAAGTGTGATATGTCCGGTGCCGCCGCCTCGGCCTCCGCCGCGGGTCTCGACAACTATAGAGAATAAGATTCATTTAAGTGTAATAACTAGTCCTCTGCGCTCTCAATCCAATACCAGTACTGGTTGTGAAGCATTGCATACAATGAGTGGAAGCACTCGAACTAATTCTCATTCATATAACAACTTCACGAGAGGAACATTTAAGAGCAATAGTATAAACTACGGAAGTCCTGTCCGGCGCCAACACATGCCGTACAAGAATGGTAACCATCACACGAGCCATCACTTCCACCACTTGCACCCACACTCGGCGTCGCCGTCACTGCTATCGGACTCTTCGCTCACACCTTTAGAAGACTCTGAGCTCAGCGACGGAGGCCTTAATAATCAGAGATCTCGTCATTTGACAAATTGCGATACCGTTACTGTCAATAGCAATACAACCAATTCTATTTGGTATGAATACGGCTGTGTCTGACATACCTGTCCATCCATCTCATCCACCACTTCATCACAAGACAAAACACTATTTAATGGTAATTAATGTAATATAATATACAATTTACTTTAATATAAAAGGAAACTAATTTTGTATATTGAAGTGTACTTAAATTATGCTAAAATTTATGGCCATTTTATACACCGATAATATTTATAATATTTGTAGAAATAGTTTTGTGATTCAATTCATACGACAAGACCATCGGTCACTCTTTATTGTGATTTCAAAATCTGATTTAAGCGAACCGTTAAATCGATTTATTTATTGAGATATTTATTTCGCAATTAATTTATATCTTGAAATCACTGCCAAAACTTAAATAAATATAATTTATTTTTTGAATGAATAAATAAATATCACGTAATGAATAAGAAATGGATTTTATTTTAAAATATTAATCTTGAAATGAGTCGATAATACATAGAATATGTTTATTAAGAACTTTATAACAATAATACTCTTAAGACAAATATCTCAGCGTATAATAGCTTACAATACTGTATAACGTTATATATATTATCGATAACTTGATATCAATATTGAATTGCAATTTCAATCGAGAAAAGATAAAATTGATGCAAAAACACCACTTTCTTCCCCAGTATTTGAATGTGACTTAAAATAATATATCGGTTGAAGAGATTTATTAATAGTATTATAACTGCATTTAATAGGATTATTGCACATAAGTTTGTAATTGAAAAAATGTTTGATAATTATCTGTGATTTTTGTTGACAAGAAAACATTGGCCTAAACTTCTCTTTTTTCAAATCATTTCCAACACATTAACGGTTATAATATAATTGTAATTTAAATGTAACTATATTTTTAAATATTACAATAAAACGAGTGCCCGATTCTATAGCCTAAACTTAAAAATAATATTAATATTAAAATCAGTTAAAAATAGTTATATATAATGTATATAATAATAATTATATTTAAATTATAATATAAGTTTATGTTTGATAAAAAATTATAACATATTATTTTTCAACATTTAATAAAATTGTGTTTTCTTGAGTAAAAATCGAAGTATTTTCTGAGTATTGAATAACATATCAATTAATACCGTAGAACTTCCCGGTAAGAAACGATCATTTGGAGATTAAAATTGTTTCTTATTGTGAGGGTTTCTTTAAATGGCGTTTAATTATCTTAAAAGTATTTTGATAAAGGTTTTAATAAAGAATTATTCTGCTTGTATAACAATAAGTGAGATGTTAACATTATAACTATAGGAAAAATTGTCAAATCTGTTCTCTACTGACATGTCTCACTTGTGAGGAGTTTGCTTACCCAGACGTTCAGCAGTATTAGTTTCAATCCAGATAGATATTAATTTCAATCATATTATGTTTTTCTGACTATAAGTATTAAAAACAAAATGTATTTCTAATTTATATTGAGTCGAAAATAACGAAGAAATAGAGATTTGAATGATTTGAAAGAGAAAAGAAATGATAGAATTTCTAACTGTTATGTAATTAAAGTTTGTATAATTAGTTGAATTAGAAATGAAACGAAGCAATCATTAGATGATATAAAGTATTGTTAGTTTTGTAAGCAATCGATGGATTAGATGGCAATCAGGCATTTTTGATGGAAAGGAGTTGATTACCTACTGTTTGTCAAAGTGATGGACACACACGTGAGCCCACCCTTGATCTACAGCCACTGTTTGTTTACATTTGGAGATTAAAATTGTTTCTTATTGTGAGGGTTTCTTTAAATGGCGTTTAATTATCTTAAAAGTATTTTGATAAAGGTTTTAATAAAGAATTATTCTGCTTGTATAACAATAAGTGAGATGTTGTTAACAGTATAACTATAGGAAAAATTGTCAAATCTGTTCTCTACTGACATGTCTCACTTGTGAGGCGTTTGCTTACCCAGACGTTCAGCAGTATTAGTTTCAATCCAGATAGATATTAATTTCAATCATATTATGTTTTTTCTGACTATTAGTTTAAAAAACAAATGTATTTCTAATTTATATTGAGTCGAAAATAACGAAGAAATTGAGATTTGAATGATTTGAAAGAGAAAAGAAATGATAGAATTTCTAACTGTTATGTAATTAAAGTTTGTATAATTAGTTGAATTAGAAATGAAACGAAGCAATCATTAGATGATATAAAGTATTGTAAGCAATCGATGGATTAGATGGCAATCAGGCATTTTTGATGGAAAGGAGTTGATTACCTACTGTTTGTCAAAGTGATGGACACACACGTGAGCCCACCCTTGATCTACAGCCACTGTTTGTTTGGACCCAATAATAATTATATTAAAGATTGAGATTTAGGTGAACAGGGATTTGCAAATATAGCGATTCAGTTAAAACCGTTTTTTGTTTGTGCGGATATTCTCAATGGCATAAACACATGGATTAAAAGTGTTTAATGCGAAACACATTTTGAGTGCAAATCCAATCAATGAATTCAATCAGAAAGAGCTGTCCATCACATGGAGTGGACGGGTGTATGGGTTCAGGAATCGAGGAGTACGTGCCAACGACACACCTGCTCTCCCTTACTGTCTCTCATGTCATTCCAATGCGACAGCTCTTCATCACCACTGCTATTGAATCCCAATGAAAACCATCCGATCATCTCTTTCCTATTCATACTCCTCTTGTTGTACACCGATATCATAAGAGTCACGTCCGGCAACTGAAACAACGCTATCTGTAACACACCATTCAATAAATCATACATTAATACATTTACCAATACATTGATTACTTTTATTAATAAATCATTTTTATGTTAAAACTTATAAGTAATGGATTCCACAAAATAAAAATTACTGAAATTGATATTAATCTATAAATACACCCAAAAATATAGCCCCGAAGCACAATTATTATTTTTTAAGTAAACTATCTAGATTTAGATCTGTACGCAAACAACTACTTTATTTTCGAAACTAACCTGAAATATGAACGTCTCCTTAAAAAGTGGATTCGGTTGACCTCTTCTAACACTTGTCTTACTTCTGGCAATTTCCTGACCACTCGATGAGACGAGCGATAGTTTAATGTAAGTGTCCGGCGCTCTGGTCATTGTAATGGTCCTGAATTGACTTCCTGTTGATCATAAATATATTGTTTAGCCAATGATTGATGAGTCGATCAAAGGATAAGTACCTTTAATGACAGAGACATTGAGTCTACCCGTAGTGCCGTTATATGCGAGTCCCAAAAGCATCTCTGGAAGGCTTGTACTTTGCATGGATTGCGCTGAACCGGTGCTATCACTTCGGGCCAAACTCGACACTTCTGATCGAGAATCCGACTATAATTGAAAGCAATTGCATTACAATTGATCCTATCCTACAGTTATCGAGGCAATTGTTAATCAAACCACTATTTTTAGATATGATTAAACAAATTAAACAATTTCACTTATAATTGAGAATTACTGTCCGCGTAATTAATTGTATTATTTAAATATACATTTTTAGAATTAAGAAATATTTGTTTTCTTCAAATGCATTAATCATAAACTTTTATGTGATTTATGAGTAAAAACATACGGCAAGACAGGATCGGGGCTCCAGAGTCAGCCAGAGTCGGGTTTCTTGTTGTTGAGGCTTAGAAGACGAGAAAACTATAATACTTTCGCCTAAAAACAGATAGATTTACAATAAGTATTGGTAATTAACTGATTATTAAATTATATAATAATTGCTGTACCAATCAATTGTTCCCTCCGAGCAAAAGCAGTTCCATAGACCCTAAACCTAATGCCTAAACCCATGACCTCTTCGGGATTGATTCGCGCGAAAGTAAATGTTTCGTTAAAAATAGGATTTCCAGTCGATTTGATTTTAGTCTTGTGTTTATGCCTTTTCTGTGGCAGCAAAACGAGTCTGACGTGTATCTGATTAGCGCCGCCGCGCTCTTTGCACGGGATGTTATTGGCCTCAAAGACAGTGACCATAAGCTTTTTGGTGGGCGCGTCGAAGGCATAACTGATTTCCAAAGAACCGCATTTTGTCACAGAATGAGACTCTGATTGTGAGAAGTGTTGGGAAAAGTCCTGCGAAGTGGACGACTGGGCGTCTGATTCGCACTTTTCAAAGGCTGTATTGTATTGTGATTTGTGGTGATCTCGAAATTTGATTGGACTCGAGCTCTCGGAGGTCTCGGATTTGTTTAATTTGTTCAGCGCTTTGTCTTTCGCGAACGAACTCCTGGACCGACGAGACTCGTCCTCATTGTCACCACTTCCGGCTTCACTCGAACCCGAGCCCTCACTCGACCCGTTCTTCCCTATCCGACCCTTTTCTGCCAATGATATCAGATCTCTGGAAGTGCTCGCAGTATTGAATCTCTTATCAGATCTCAATTCTGGTTTGAATTCTCTTGAAATCAATGGCTTATTTTGGTGATCAACTCTTTGTGTCTCTTCAATGGTTTCAATGATATCAGATCTCTGGAAGTGCTCGCAGTATTGAATCTCTTATCAGATCTCAATTCTGGTTTGAATTCTCTTGAAATCAATGGCTTATTTTGGTGATCAACTCTTTGTGTCTCTTCAATGGTTTCAATAATTTTATGCCTGTTTTTCAGAGTATGTTTGTGTCTATTATTCGAGACCTCATTCTTCGAGATACTTGACTGTCGGGTGATATTGATTTGATTACTCGCCGATCGTTTCAATCTCTGTAACAATTCGTCTTCACTATCAGTAGACGAGTCGAGAGCGTCGTCGTATGAAAACGCGTCCACTGAACACATGTATAACACATTTAATACAAATTTCATTGCAATTTATTGTAATTTATTTATTAATATATAATTTTTATACCCAAATCTTTGGACGCTTTATCCTTTGATATATTTAACGGTTTATCACAACAGGGAAAGCCTCCGATCGTATTGAAGCAGAACTTCTTCGTTAAGTATAGATAGAAAACAAACAAACAGGTCATACAAATCGCTACCATCCCTAAGAAAGCACTCGCTTCTGTCGGTACTGCAATTCAATCACATTGTTATTCAATTTTATTTGTATTGATAGTAATGTATTTTAATTAATATGAATTTAGACTAACTCTCGAATATAGGCCCCATTTTATATAACAGACAAATGTATACTAATAAAAATATTATGCAATCTTTTCGGAATATTCTTCATGTTTTTATTTATTATATAATAAAAATCTCGTAAATTCTATAAATAATAATAATAATCGGTTTATTGATTAACTAAATGTATATTATTATTGAGTGAAAATAATATTTTCTATTATCTGATAAATTTAATTAATTTAAATTGTCATACATTTAATAACTATAAGATTTAAATGTATTCATAATAGCATTCATTCGTGCATTCAATGAAATTAATAATTTTAAAGAATCGATTGAAACTCAATTCATTGATAGAGTAGTAAATGAATAGTATTTTAAATAATAATATTATGCAATACATGCCAATCGGGTATAAAATGAAATCGTTTTGGTTTTGCATTTAAAATACAAAAACACAATGCAATTAGAAATGTTTAAATAATTGTGAATATAATGAAGTGACAAATAGACTATTAATGTAATTATATGTTTGAAATAACGGGCTATATATGAGTGATTAGTGCGTATAATATATGACACCAGACATGACAATACCTGAGAGCATAGTCGCCAACAATGAGTAGAAAATGACTGATTCTATGACTATTTAGTTAATCACAAGTGATTAGAAAGTGAATTGAATTGAAATTAAATCACATTCTGCTCACTAATAGATTGAGTTCTTGCAGTTCTTGCAGCCGAAAGCAGGCTTTGTTGCAACACTACTACCACTACTAATACAGTGTTGTGTTGATAGAGTGAGAGCAGGTCTGAGAGCAGGACTGAGTACATCACCATTTGCTACGACATCCATAAGCCTTATCTCAACAGATGAATGCATGAAAGCATTACTTTCTATCCAATGTATAACGCATTGCATCCACTCTTATCATTACAAACACTAGTGTTTCT